GGGTGCTGAGGTGGGTGGATGGGAGCATGGCGCTAAGGTGGGTGAAGGTGTGTGCACGGGGTATGGGGCTGAGGTGGGTGCATGGGGCATAGGGCTGATGTGGGTGCTGAGGGAGATAGGGACGGAGGTAAGTGAAGGGGGAGATGGGAGCTGGGGTAGGTGGAGTGGAGCATGGGGCTGAGATGGGTGCTGGGGGAGATGGGGGCTGAGGTAAATGAAGGGAGTACAGGGGGGCATGGGGCTGAGGTGGGTGCTGAGGGAGATGGGGGCTGAGGTGGGTTAAAGGGGGTGGGTGCTAGGGGAGATGGGTGCTGAGGTGGGTGGAGGGGTCATGAGGCTGAGGTGGATGCTGGGGGGTGGGTGCTGGAGAGATGGGGGTTGAGGTGGGTGGGTGCTGGGGGAGATGGGGGCTGAGGTGGGTGGAGGGGAGAATGGGGCTGGGAGAGATGGGGACTGAGCTGAGTGAAGGGGGATATGGGTGCTGAGGTGGGTGAGTGTTTGGGGAGATGGCTGAGGTGGGTGGAGGGGAGAATGGGGCTGGGAGAGATGGGGACTGAGCTGAGTGAAGGGGGATATGGGTGCTGAGGTAGGTGTGTGGGTGCTTGGGGAGAACTTCTCATGTGTATTTCGTAAAGTTAGTGTGTGCTATTCCTGTACAAAGTTTTATTTTGTGTTCAGCTACATCTGCTGAGTACAATGATACACCCATTGTATGCCTTTGGCACTATTTCGTGAAGCTATAGCGCCATATAGGAGACCTGTCCATTTTGGAATTTACAGTAGAATTTTGAGAGACGGATTTGATGGGCCTATGTTTCAATTTGGGCTATTATAGCAGTTTGACGGTTCGAAAACCCCCTCACAAAGGCCTACCATTTGTAAAAGTAGACACTCCAGGGTATTTCAAATGGCATATTTTAAACCCTAGCATAGGATAATTTTTTTTTTTTTACTAGTTTGTACCAAGTCTAGTAGCAATTAGCATTTTTTCTGCCTTTTTGACACACACTTGGAGATGTTACTGTATATTTTGCAATCCTTATGTGTGCTACGGCAGTATAACACCTATTATGTTGCTCAGCTATGTCGTGTTAGTACAACAATACCCCCATGTGTACCTTTTTCAGCCATATCAGTTGTTTTTTTTTCTTTCAAACTTTGAATTTTGACGCTGGGTCCATGTGCAATTTTAGAGCATCTTAGCAGGCTGATAATTCAAACTACCCCATAAAGGCCTACCATTTTTTAAAGAAGGTATTAATCACCGTATTAACCTGCATCAAAGTCTGGGGCACTGCCTGTCAACTCTGTCTGCTGATAGAATTCATAACTTCCTAAGCATTTTTTTACTTTTTACACAAGAACTTTAACTAAATGTTATAAAATAATTATTTTCTTTTTTTTTTTTTAAATCTTTTCACCCCTAGTGTAACACTAAACTCCCCAACTTCCTATGAATTACCCCGCACCCTAATTAACTAACTAAAATTAGAAAAATAAAAATAATGAAATAATCAGAGTCAGAGGTAAGAATTACTGCAGCCTCCATGGCCATAAACGTTGTCAGCAACTTTAAAATGGAAGAAAAAAAAAAGTGTGTGTGTGTATGTATATGTATGTATGTGTATATATATATATATAAATATAAACAATTTGCAACTTATTCTCCCTGGGTGTGAAAAACTTTAAAACAGTTGCCAATACAAAGGCTGGGCTGTGAGGGGCAATCAGGGCAGTAAAAGCTGGTTTCCATCCTTATGCCCCTCTGGTAGCACATCCTGCACCTTTTCTGGGGTGTCTTCTTTTTGGGGGTTGGTGGTATCCGGAAACAGAAGTGACCTGTCTCAACCCTTCTGCTGCTAGGCCCAGCTGATGGTTCCCCACTGTAGCACTCAGTGAGCAGCCCAGAAATAAGCTGAAACTGGAAATCCAGAAATGTGGATTTAATGTCAGCATTTGCCTTTTTGTAGAGAATAAAGACATTGTGAGTCGCCATTTGCATAAGGTAAATGCCAAGCTTTTTGTGCCATGCCCTGGTCTTCCTCAGTATTAAATAGGGTTGCAGCAGTTGGTTGGGCAGGTCAACTCCCCCCATGTGCTTGTTATACTGCCTAATGCAGACTGGCACCCGTCTAATTTCTTGTCTTCCACGAACTGCGACTCTTCGAGTGTGCTCAGTATGCATAGATGTTAGCATGAACACCTCCTTCTTATCTTTGAATTTGAGAGCCAGCAGTTCGTCCTGGCAGAGAGCAGCCGTTTCCCCCCCCACCCCCGCCCCCCCGGGCTTTTTCTGTGCCAGGGCTTTTGGGAAACCGACACGTGTCTTTTGGATAGTGCTGCAGGCCACAGTTTCAAAGCAATAAAGCATCCTAAGAAGAGGGATGCTATTATAGTAATTGTCTATAAATAAATGATACCCCTTATTTAGCAATGGGTTAATTAAATCCCATACGATTTTTCCACTCGTCCCAATGATATCCGGGCAACCTGGGGGATCCAAGTGGCTGTCATTACCTTCGTAAACACGGAAGGTGTAAACATAACCACTGGCGCTTTCACAAAGTTTATACAACTTTATCCCATACCGGGATCTTTAGGCCGGGATATATTGTTTAAACCCCAGTCTGCCCTTGTATTTCATTAGAGACTCATCTACGCAAATATTTTTTTGTGGGGTGTACATTGAACCAAACTGTCTGTTGAAGTGGGAAATAAGGGGGCGAATCTTAAAGAGATTATCGTATTGAGGATTATCTCTTGGGGGGCACTTCGAATTGTCGCTGAAGTGTAAAAAGCAAAGCATTGCTTCATATCTGGACCTGTTCATGGTCTGGGAGTAAATAGGGGTGCTGCATACAGGATTTTTGGACCAGTACATCCTGATGTAGGGTTTTTTAATAATGCCCATTAGATATCGAGGCACCAGCGTTAACCCCACAATCGCGGCGATCTGGCGTTAACGTTAGTAAATGACGGAGATTTTCCGTCAACGGTCCTTAACACACGGACAAGCTTGACGGAAAATCTCCGTCTTCGGTCGGGAAGGGGTAAAGCTGTGGTAGCTCTTGTGTTTAGAGTGTCCCATTAAGGAACATCCCAGTCCCCTAAATTACTTGCAGCTTGCTGTTAGTGATTAAAGAGTTACTTCAACCCTTTTTCACTCATACTTTATTTATTCATAACCATAATGCCCTATTGGGCATTTCTAGCTAGGTGCCGTCTTTAAAAAGCAAAAAAGCTTTTTAAAAAGCATACCTATAAACTAATGCCAGGAGCTCCAATGTCAAACAGTAAGAGAAGCAGTAAGGGAAGGAGGGATAACCAGAAATATAATAATTAAGCTAATAGGGAGACAGCAGGGCTTAAAGGACCACTATAGTGCCAGGAAAACATACTAGTTTTCCTGGCACTATAGGGTCTCTAGGGCCCCCCTCCCACTGGGCTCTAGGGCGAGGAAGAGGTTAAACACATACCTTTTCTCCCTCGGTGGTGGGGACTCTCCGCCTCCTTTCCCCGTCATCGGCTGAATGCGCATGTGCGGCATGAGCCGCGCACGCATTCAGCCAGTCCATAGAAAAGCATTCTCAATGCTTTTCCTATTAATGCTGGCATCTTCTTACTGTGAAAATCACAGTGGGAAGCGCATCTAGCGGCTGTCAATGAGACAGCCACTAGAGGCTGGATTAACCCTAAAGTGCTATGTTTACAGCAGAAAGGGTTAAGCCTAGATGGACCTGGCACCCAGACCACTTCATTAAGCTGAAGTGGTCTGGGTGCCTATAGTGGTCCTTTAATGCAAGAAAGGAGTGAGGGAGATAAATGTGTTCCGTCGCAGGCTAATTACGTCCGTTGCCATTGTGTAATGTGCGCTGGTGACACGTTTTTTTTTTATGCACAGAATTGACATTCAGGAACAGAGTTCTAAGCTGCCAAAGCATAAACACGGCACATATAGACTTCTACGACCATGGCCATTTCTAATCACTGAAGTGGTCATAGTGGTTGGAGTAACCCTTTAACTGCATAAGGCTTTTTTTAAAGTGCAGCTTGAAAAAAACAATAACACCAACAGCAAAACACATTTGTTAAATTTTCTGACTGTCAAGCACACAGCCAGGTGTTTTTTTTTTGCCTTACTCAAGTTTAACTTTAGTTAAAGGACCACTCTAGGCACCCAGACCACTTCAGCTTAATGAAGTGGTCTGGGTGCCAGGTCCCTCTAGGATTAACCCTTTTTTTTAATAAACATAGCAGTTTCAGAGAAACTGCTATGTTTATAAATGGGTTAATCCAGCCTCTAAAGCCTCTAGTGGCTGTCTCATTGACAGCCGCTAGAGGCGTTTGCGTGCTTCTCACTGTGAAAATCACAGTGAGAACACGCAAGCGTCCATAGGAAAGCATTGTAAATGCTTTCCTATGAGACTGGCTGGCATGCGCATTCAGCCGAAGAGGAGGAGGAGAGCTCCCGCCCGGCACTGGAGAAAGGTAAGATTTTAACCCCTTCCTCTCCCCAGAGCCCGGCGGGAGGGGGTCGCTGAGGGTGGGGGCACCCTCAGGGCACTATAGTGCCAGGAAAATGAGTATGTTTTCCTTGCACTATAGTGGTCCTTTAAGAGGGAATACTTCTCGTAGAGGAAACATTGGTTTCAAGTGCAGTGGTTGTCCAAATGCTTCTCTATGAGAAGCATCTGATGTTGATGACTTAACCCACCTACCCCCACAATCATTTCTCACATAAGTATGTGCCTTTCTCCTACAGACATTAAATCGTATTGTAGTTGCCACAATCCGGTTTCTACTCACTAGCTGACCAATAACACTGCAATAAAACAAATGCAGGGCTCAGTAGATTTTGTTCTACAGCCTTTGCTTGCATGTCTTGCATGTTTGTAAGAATACATACATTATCTTTTTTTAAAAGATACTAACTATATATATATATATATATATATATATATATATATGAGAGAGAGATGCATACTTTGCCATATAAATGCTTTTAATCATAAATACATTTGCATTTTTATTTTATTTTTTAGCAGGCTATGAAATGACAGGAGTCAGATTATCCCTCTGTGCCTTCAGAACTCTGGAAAACTGTGCCAGACTTTATCAGAAGCAGCATGTAATTCAGTGTACCACATGCTATACACATTGCAGACGTCTGTCAAACAGCCTAGACCAACACAGAATACCCATTACCGGCAGGTACCCCTTACATTCCTGTCCAGTTCTCACTCTGCATTCAGGAAACATATATGGAAACTCAATCAGGTTTAAAAGTAAGAAGAGCCAGAAGAAAACTCATAAAGGCACATCTCAAGAGGACGAGGATGAAGAAGATGAAGATCTTGAGGATGTCAGTGATTATGAAGATGAGCCAGAAGAAGACCCCAATATCCCCAAAGATTATAAAGATCTAGAGAAAGCTGTGCAGTCCTTTCGATATGATGTCATCATTTCAGCGGGACTAGATATCTCACGAAAGTAAGTGATACTCCATGCATCTTATCTCATCTCCATTACCCCCAAATTAGTCATTTTTAAGGCATATTCAAGGATTTCTCTACACTAACTGTTAAACCAGCAAACTCGTTATATTAAATAAAACCACAACTAACCAGGGTTGTGGGAATGGATTTCCAGATGCATGCGCACCAGCTTAATATTAGTTTAACTTTCACAGTGCATTGGCTAAAAGAATACAATCTCCTGCCCACCTGGTTAATAAGGGGTTTTGGAAAACTTGATTTTGTTTCTGTCCTCCCCTCCTACTGTATATTGTGTGAAGGGAAAGTGTTGTGATTGTGGCGTTCTTGTTACAATATTCTGATCTTGCACAAACATTTCATTGAGTTTTGTCAAGAACAAGAAGACTAACAATGATCACATTATGTACCGTATATGTCGACCCGAATATAAGTCGAGACCCCTAATTTTACCCCAAAAAACTGGGAGTCTTATTATGGTAAATTTCTAAATAAAATTAGATCCCAAAAAAATTACATTAATTGAATATTTATTTTGTGTATATAATGAGTGCAGTGTGTGTGTATGTGATGCAGAGTGTGTAACCTTGGTGGGAGGTGGGCATTTTATTTTTATTTATTTTAATATTACATTTTGGTTTTTTTTAATATTATTATTTTAATATTAATTTTTTTTTATTATATTATTTAAATTTGTATTTATATATTTATTTATTTTTGTCCCCCCTCTCATTCCCTGGTGGTCCAGTTGTGTGTACTGTGTAGGAGAGGTGCTGGCAGCGAGCTGTAACTTACCTTTCCTGCAGCTCATGTCAGCTCCCTTCTCCTCCACTGTAAGTCTTGCGGTCTGAGTGCCGTGCGGAGCGTTGCCATGGTAACCCGTGGCAACGCTCTGATGCCGCAGCTCTCGCAAAACTTACAGTGGAGAAGGGAGCTGACCGGCACGGAGAAGGGAGCTGCAGGAAAGGTAAGTTACAGCTCGCTGCCAGCCCCCAACAGGACCGCCGGGCTCATCCTTGTCTGTATTATGGCAATGTAAGTTGCCGTAATACAGACATTGACTCGAGTATAAGACGAGTGGGGGTTTTTCAGCACAAAAAAGTGCCGAAAAACTTGTCTTATACTAGAGTATATACGGTAACTTATCAAATCAGGTTCATATAGCTGAACAGCTGTAGCAAAGCATGGAATGTTGCTATGATAACAAAACGATCAGCTGAGAGATCTTGTTGATGGTCTATGGCTTTGGGTTCAAGGAGTTTGAAACTTCCAATTTCAGGCCACTCCACCTTCCACCCTTCTATGGTTTCTTGTTCCACTCTTTTTTTTTTGCTCATATATTGTCTAAATGTATACTAAAATTGGACATTTTGAAACACATTCGACTGGTATAAATATATATATATATATATCTTACTTTTTTTTTCTTTTATGATAAAAAAAGCAAAGTTGAAGAAGCGTTTTACAGCAGCATGCTGCGGCTAAATGGGGAAAAATTATGGAAGAAAAGCAGAGCGGTATGTTTCTATGCAATACATTATACAGTATTTTAGAAGATATTATTTCACCTGTGACTATTTCGACCCTTTTTTTATTTTTATTCATTGTAGGTTAAAATTGGAGACCACTTGGATTTAATTATTGAAGAAAATAAAGAAACTAAAACATCAACAGTGATGAGAGTCATCTTAAAAAAAGTGGCAGAGGAAAAGACTGGCACTGAAAAATACAAAGTCACATTAAGACGATGGAAAAACCTAAAACTTGCAAAGCAGGATGGACAAAAATAATACATTTTGTATGCGTTAGTGCTTCGGAAGAAAGGCACAAATACTATATATTTAAAAAGCTGGCAGGTCAATTTGTGCATCACCCTTCCAACACCCCAAAAAGGATTGTTTTTAACAATCACCTGCATGAGCACTAGACTGAGACTGTTAACTCTTCTTTCATATCAACTGCCTATGTGTGCTTTTTACAAAACACCAGATCAGAGCTGTAATTTGTAGACATTGCAACATCATGGAATAGACTATAACCGATGGACCTAAAATTTTACTCCTTATCTACATGTATTCTAGTCATTTTTCATGCGGTTTTTTTTCCCATAAATTTTTATTTTTATTTTTTTTAAACACAGTAATGTTTTTTGTAGATTGAGGGGTTGTGACATGTGCATTCACAAGGCGTGCATAGGTAGGAAGCGCAGGTTTGACAAGATCACTGGTGGTACTGAGCTACATGAGGTGCACCTGTTACATTATGATATATAACGTGCCATCATTTCTTAAAGGACCCCCACCATAAAGAACTTCAGCTGGAATTCAAAATTAATTTCAAAGTTCCCAAATTCGAAGCATAGTTGACCTTTGTCCTTAAAGCTGAAATTCACTTTGACAATTCTCACTGTAGTGATTATGTAATTAATAACTCCAAGTGTGCTTCTGAGTGATTGACAGTATTATGAATGGCTTATACAACTATTAACATTAAAAATGACAATCCGTAATCATGAGCAAGTGGCCTCCTGGGGATGGGATATGTAAAATTCATGTGCTGAAGAGGGAAAAAAAAATAAAATAATCCAGGCAATTCCTTTGGGATCAATACATGTTTTATTCATTCCTTTATATTTTTATAGACATTTTAAATGCAGCAATACTCTTCACTTTCCATTTGATGCCCATCGTCATGTAAAAGTAATATGTCCAGTAAAACATAGATCTGGCAACCCTATTTATTGAAAATATCAACTGTTGAGATTATGAATACTTAAAAATAGTTTGAGTTTTAGATGAGTGTTAGATTTTACCTGTAAACTTAAAGGAGTAACTTAAGCACCATAAACACTTAAAGGGACACTATAGTCCTCAGCACAACTACAGCTTTTTAATGTGAATCCTGCCGTTTCAGAGAAAAGGTACTGTTTACATTACTGCCTAGTAACACCTCTAGTGGCAGTCACTCAGATGGTTACTAGAGGTGCTTCCTGAGTTAGTGCTGCACAGTGTCTGCATGCTGTATGAGAAGATGCTGATTTCGCAGCATTGTGTTTTTTTTCCTTTAAGAAAGCATTGGATTGGCTGAGATCAGATTTGATCTCAGCTATGGAAGCAGAGCCAGCTGCTGCAAGACCAATGTGGCAGAAAATGTGAGTAAACCCACTTTTTCTTTTTGTTAATAAAAGTTTTAATTGGTCACTGTGCATAAAGCAAAAACAATTGCGGGATACACATGCATTGAAACTATTTTTCATAAATTACATTTGGAATCAGACAGCCACACAGGGCTAAGTAAGCAAATGACATGAAGGTAAACAAGGACACCAAGATCCGCAATCCAATTACATAGCATATTGTGCAAGTTAAGTACTCTTATGTAACCTAAAGTGGTGCAAGGTACTCTTATGTAATCTAAAGTGGTGCAAGGTACTCTTAACCATACCGCTGTAAACTCACCTTTTTACTGCAAGGAGCAATGGTCAGGGACCTAAATGGATAGTTTGCCACTATAGTTTTAGGAATGATTGTGTTCCTGACACAATAGTATTCCTTTAAAGCAGAGCTCCCCAAAAGGTAGATCCCCAGATATTGTAGAACTACAACTCCCTTGATGCTTTGCATGTCTTTAGAATGACAAAGCATCATGGGAGTTGTAGTTCTACAACATCTGGGGATCTACGTGTTGGGCAGCCCTGCTTTAAAGAGATACTATAGTGCCAGGAATACAAAGGTGTATTCATGGCACTGTAGCTCCCTCTATTTAATTCAGTTGAGCTGAACTCAAGAGGCAGACAATTGCTCAGAGGTTTGGGCTTGCAAAGGCAGGCTTCAGTCCAAAGATCTGCAGTTTTTTTTAGATCTATCCCAATGAAAAAATACATATTTAATACATGTTTTCATTTGGGATATAGCTACTATCTTCCTGCTCTATATTTTGCCACACCTCTGTGTAGCTATAGTATAGACAAAGGGACATATAGTAAAGACAAAGGGACATATAAAAGCAATAGCTATATATATATATATATATATATATATAGCATTTTTGAGACTGTGTACAAATACAGAAATAGAATAAACATTACTAGTAAATTAATAAATATATGCGTATCAAACTCATTAATTCTCTTGCAGGATAGAGTGACCCCATATCTTGTCATGTTGTGGTTAGAAAAGAAGTGGTTGAGTTTATAGTCAGATACCAAATAAAATCCACTTACACACTTCTTACACATCCAATATGCATAGAAAAACAGTATTTTAACCATTCATAACTAGGGCTAATTCTGCCTATAAAAGGGGCGGCCTACCAAGAGTAACATGCAAAAGGAGAAGCAAGGATTATATACAAACCACTTTGGATTTAACACACTAAAGGGGCAGATCTTCATTTTTAAAATGCCAGTGCCATGTATAAATGCTCATGTACTTTGAGCGATAGTTCCCTCATCTTTCAGGTTTCCACTGGAATAGAGCCCTGTGTGTGTAAAGCAGTTTTGTTTGTTTTTTCCTCAAATTTATTCTTAGTTTCTGTATCTTTCCTTTGCACTTGATTTGTGATGATAGTAATTTAATTCACATAATGGTACACGGTGAGACCTGGATGCTCTCATTACTCATTTAAGCGTGTGCATGGGTTGTAGGTATTTGAATTTTTTAGTTATGAAATTGTGGAATGTGTTTACAGATTTAAATTTTTAGTATTCATACTGCATCCAATTGAAACCTCATATCTAAAAGAATGATTTCCATTTATCTTTGGTAAAAACAAGTTTATTTAATAAATCCTAATTTAGGTTGATAACAGTCATGTATTCGTTTATCACTACGATGACATAAAAAGTTAGCTTAACATGATAACAAAAGTAGTATCTCACAATAAAACTGCATATAAAAAAATAAAAATAATCAAAATGTTAAAGTGTTTGGGAGTAAATTATCTAACCTGAGTTGCAGAACAGCATTTTTATAAATTATTAGTGATGTCCCGAACGGTTCGCCGCAGACTCATCATTGAGTAAACTTTGACCCTGTACCTCAGTCAGCAGACACATTCCAGCCAATCAGCTGCAGACCCTCCCTCCCAGACCCTCCCACCTCCTGGACAGCTCACTAAGAATGCAGCTTCACAATGAATGTAAAATGTATGCTGTCCAGGAAGTGGGAGGGTCTGCTGCTGATTGGCTGGAATGTGTCTGCTGCCTGTGAGGTACAGGGTCAAAGTTTACTCAACGATGAGTTCTCGGCGAACCGTTCGGGACATCACTATACATTATATGTTAACATCGTTATAGCACAATTGCTACCTGCTCTGACATTGTATATCCAACATATTCAGAACAGCAAATTATATCAGACATGCTATTTACATCCAATTGGCTAGACAAAAACATATAAACAAAAATAAGTCGGGGTTCCTAAGACCTTTTACATGAGCAACACATCGCTACCTAGCACGCTGGTGATTCTGGTCCCACATTTGTGAACGAGCTAAATAATAAAAATGTGCAGTAAACTATGTTAAATCTAGGGCACTTTAAAATATAAACTCTATTTGCATAAAATTATATAGAAATGTAACTCCATATCATACAGGTCAAGGTAAATTGGTGAAAATTGTTTCAGACTAAACACTGCAACGCAGATTTTTATCTCTCGACTTGCCTTAAAACATAGGCACATTTTTTTTCTACTTCATTGGACAGCTCCGTATACAACATGTAATGCTCTCATGCAAGATTTGTTAAGATAGAAAGCAAGTGGATCTACAACAAAACAACCTGCTCACTGATTCACCATAGCCTGGAGCAAACCACGGACAGTCTGGGATTTAGTTAAGGCAGTTTACAGTTGTGCGTAGGCAGTTCCAATTCAGTGTGTGAATGTAAGCACATAAGAGTTTTTTTTTTTTGTCTGTATGTAAACATATCAGATTTATTACCCGTGAAAATGTTGCCTACAGATGTATGCGGAGTGATTCTGTAAGTAAGTGTTTTAGAACGTTTTATATTTTTATGGTGCTGTATGTAACTAATTGTTTATACTTATGTAAAATGATGTTGAGGCGGTGGGTATACATCTGTACGGGAGTTTAGATCTGTAAAAATAAGTGTGCGTGTACCTGTGTATATATATGTGGGGTTGCGTGCACGTAAGTAAAGGAGCTGGGGTTACATTTTTTATTTATTTTTTTCAAATTTAAACTTATGATAAGCATTGGCAAGACTCGCAGAAGTCTAATTGGCATCGCTTCAGGACACGCAGGTCCCTAAAATTTTAATCTTTTAAAGCTTGCATCACATTGTAATAGGGTAATACCTCCTCATAATAACTCAGTTGGGTTCAGTCTTGTGTTACAGTGCTAATAGAGGTAATATGGAGAACTTCCAACTGTCGAGCAGTATAAAATAAACATTGTAACAAACTAAACTTACGGGTCACTGTCACGTTTTCTGAAGTTTTAAGTTCACTTACAGGTGTCTGCTTTTAATCTCTTTTAATCTGAATTAGGGGGAAAAAAAACTGAAGACCCGCAGGACCCTTCAAATTTCAGGAAGGGACACGCAGGTCCCAGTTCAGATATTTTAAGTGTGTGTTTGCATGTTTCAATATCAGGTATTGCAAGCAACTGCAACCTGTAAAGTAAAACGGTGTGACCTCAGCAGCTCAGCTCCCGGTTGGGCGTATGCTTTAAGTGTAGTCACTCTCTGTGCCACGTCCCGAGCTCCAGGGCACAGGCCCCGTGAAGAAGAGGATGGGAGGTGGTGAAGCGGGAATGAGAGACCGTGTAAGAGGAGAATGTGGTATGAAAGCGGGTGCGGATCATCTCACCCGCCTCCTGGTGTCTCCTACTGGGGATAGTCAAATCCCTCCCCCCGCGGCAATCCGCCCCCCCAGATAACTGGTCAGGAACTCCTCCACCAGTCAGTGTGCCTATAGGTCCGTTTGCGTCTGTGCTCCTCCATGACCCGTAGCACTTCCATTTTGGTATACCAAAGGGTCAGCGTTGGGGCCGTGTCCTTTTCCAGTACAAGGGTATTATATGTTTTGCGACGTTAACTATGCAAATGGTCAGGGAGCGTTTGTAACAGGATGTGGTGTAGAAGATAGGTGGCCGGCCGGAAGGGTGTGATCTATGATTTACTATTTTTGAGTTTTTCCGATTTGGCAACCCTGCAGAACAGTGTGCGAGGATCAACTCAATGTTGTATTATCTAGAGGGCTCTGTAAAATACTGGCATAGATACTACACATTTGTGGTGAGAGCAGTGCCAGAGTTAATGATTTGTCAAGTTACAGGTGCAACCTCACATTACATTTGCGATCAAATATACTGAATAATAAGAAGGATGAATATTTTTGATGGAATTTGCTATGGCAAAATTTTATTTGCACAGAGGGAGGAAAGGGTAGGGGAAAGGAAGGAAAACAAGTTGTAATCTTCTAGAATAATAAAATTTTCTCTAATTAAATATCAATTACCCAGGTGTATAAAACAGATATGATTTACAGTAAAGAATGACGAGTACAGGTTAAAACATGTATGTGCTGCTGATTAGCTTAATCCGTGTGTGTGTACTATATAAAAATAGAATTTACTGTTACACAATAAAGCACAAAATCGGTGTGAATGAGGAACATAAAAATTGGCCATAAAAGAACGCTCATCTCCACATATAATTAAAATAATTTCATTGGATTAAATTTATTTTATTTTTTTTAAATGCTAGAGTGTGAATCACTGTATTTTTGTATTGCAAGTCATATGGTCTCCAGCAAGGAAAGGTTACATAATATTAAAAAAAAAAAAAAGTGCTATTACTTTAATGTGTTCATTATTCTAATTAAGCAGCTAGTATATCTGCACATCTAAAAGACAACGAGCCCAACTTAGAACTACAACTATGGCCATTCATGCTATCTTACCATAAATGTATTGGAAGATGATGTGTAAGTACATCATATGGGAGCAGATGGCAGTGTGCAACATCTATGTAAGTCAACCACTTTGGAGGAGACAGAAGCAATCATCAGGTAGGTAAATCTCCACTTCCAAATACCAATGCATTTTTCAATGTGAATATTTCTAAAAACAGCTTGCAAAAGCTGCTGAACTCTTTACAAGCCCCCCTCCTCCTCCTCTACAGTCACCAGACTTTCCAATGCAACTTAATGACAAGTCTTTGTAACTCAGGTGCTCTGGGCAATAGAATTGCCTCTTGTGTTTAGCAAACACGACCCCCCCCAAAAAAACAAAAAAACACAAAACACATGCCTCCCACTCGATCTGATTTTAGGGTCCTGTCCCAACTTTGTTCACTTCCGTCTCACTTTTGGGGACACCTAGGAACAATCCCCAAAAACCAGAGTGCATCATTACACATTAGGCTATGCTCAGGGCACTACGACCATACAGCAAGCATTGAAACAGTGCTCTCTGAATTGATTGTCTGCCCTTGGTTGGCTTGATTGGCAAGATGTCTATCAATTGTTTGAGTGATGTCAGTGACATGATTTACATCACTGACCTGCCCCATTGTTCCATTACCCACCAACGTCCTGATGAAGGGATGCCTAGGTGGTAAACAGGCAGTAACAGGACCGTTTGTCTAATTGACAGCATGGGGGTTGCAACAAGGATAATTCAGAAAAAGTGCCAATTCTCTATTTAAATTTGCACTTTTTGTATAATATAAAGAAGAGGACACACTCTCCATACATAAAGCACATCAGCAAGCTAAATTGCTTTAAGACAGTGTTTAATCTTTGCATTTGCTAGCAAATTCACTAGCTAGCAAAATGTATAGAAAATATAAGTTGAAGAGGAGCCTTGTCCTAAACATTTTGTCAGATAAAACCCTTTAGGTCTTTATAAAAGTGTAATAATATTTGTAGATTGCAAGACTGGACGATATGAGACAAACAATGAAGTTAACAATCCAAAACACATACTTACTATTTATAACAAACAGATTGTGATTATATAGATGATCATTATTTTCTATTTAATCATATTGTCACATCCAGTATCATACAAAAAACAATTGATATTGATATATACACAAAGTACATAATCGTGGCTAATATTGAGCATTTGAAACAGAGTGTTGATAGTGGGAGAAGCCAGAGCTTAGCACTAAACCATCATAACTACTAAAGGAGGATTTTGTACAAATATACTTTGAATACACTCATTACAGCTCATTGAGGGCTATTTACTAAAATTTGAATATTAGTGAATTCATAATATATTTCATATTTTAGACCAAAGTAGCCAAGCTTAAAATATTACTGACTTATTTCCAATTTGGCCTGCAATTAAACTTAAATTATAATAATTTACACTTTAGGGACGAACACTGAGTAGGATACTTTGAGGGTCAATGAAACACACGCTACCCACCACTTTCACAGCCACTGGGAAATATTAACGTGCACTTTTGATGATCAACAATTCTAAAACATTCTGCTAGCCACATTCCTGGCAAAACATTTTGAGGCAATAATGTTTGAAACAATAGATCAGTGGCTGTAATCCACCACAATGCACGTGAAAATAGTGTTGTGAGTAATTGGACACTAACAGGGTTATTCGTTAAATTTAAAAATAGAACTTGTGTATTTTACCTTTACTGACTAAATCAGCCATTTTACAGTATTACAACCAACAATAAAACAGGTCTTCCCATAAAGAGATTAGCAACCACTCTTGGGCTTCAACTAATTGGTAGCTGGCAAAAATATGTTACCCATTCATTGATAACTGTAAGGAGTCATCTTTCCTGAAATATCATTTGGACATTTACTGGCCATTGCTCTAGGAATTTTAGCAAAACTCCGAGCAGGATATGGAGTTGCCCATTAAACTTTCATTATTGTTAACGGTGAGTCTCGGTATCTTTCATGACCAGCTTTCTCTAAAATACAAGACCATTTGCAGTACTACAGGGAGCAACGGCTAAGAAACAGGATTGCTATTGCCTATGTACTGGGGCTGAAACGTCGATATGTTTTAATGTCACAAATTAAAAGTTATATTTTATTATTACCTATACTACGTCCTTGGAGTGCAGTCATTTTCTATATATATATATATATATATATATATATACACACATACATACATACACACATACATACATATTTACATACACACATATATACATACACACAGACACACTCTCTCTCTCTCTCTATATATATATATTCATAGAACTATGGTACTGAGTTGTTAACAATAGTGGTAAGTACCAAGCTAATATAGCACAGTAATGTTAAGGCTATAGCCTACCCAGACCCAGACTAATTTCCCTGAAGGCAATACAAGTATGGTGCCTGCATGAGGTGACACTCCACAAACCTAGATAGGTTTGATAGATGTCAAAGATTTGAAGGAGGTTGATCAATTAAACATGCTCCAATATTCATTCAGCAGTGGGCCAGTCATTTTTACTGCTTAGACGTAAAGGGTTATTACTCCAAGTGTCAGAACCACCACAGCCCACTGTAATGGTTATGATGCCAAGGGTATCCTGGCCCAGTTCCCCGCCAATGAGGCAAACTGTAAAGTAACGGTTTGCCCTCTTACCTGGGTCCCTGCTGGTCTGATATTGTGCTTCAAGCTAGTTCACATAATTGGCACTAGCCTGTCCAGACTGGTTAAAAACACCCCATGATGCGGTCAGAGGGGGAGTTAAACTCAGCATGTGCAGCGTTTCACAGCATTTTCACAATGCTAGACATGTAGACTGCAGGCACCATGACCACTTCAAATCACTGAAGAGGTTAAGGTGCTTGGAGTAACCCTTTAATGATGAATTTCACAATATTCTTCTGCAGCAGTCACCCAGAAAATTTCACCAGTAGTAATAAAAAAATTAAAAAAAAGGAAATAAAATAGTCACTTGTTGCAAAATATCTGCAATTTCTTCAGGAGCCAGGAGGTAGCTGAAAATTCTCAGGCAATCCTGGTCCTTCAACTATCTCACAGGTTTATTCACTAAAGTGTGAATTGCTTGGAATTTAAATGGAATATCATGCTGGAAAAAAAAGTAATTACTATACAGACCAGGCATAGGCCACCTTTAAATGTCAGTTGTTGTAGACTACATCTCCCATAATGTTCTTGCAGCTATAATGCTGGCAAAGCATCAGGAGAGATGTAGTCCACAACATCTGGAGTGACAAACGTTGCATACTCCTGCACTAGACCCTTAATCTTACAAAATAAGCAAGTAACTCTATGGCACAATACAACAAATGCAGAGACACAACAGGGCAGGTCCTAATGCAAGTCAAAGTGTTTATCAAGTTCGTAGTGTCTTTTTATAAATACACTTTAAGCCGAAGGTAATGCCCATTTTATTTTAATGCATTAAAATGTTAATGTTTAAAATATATATGCAAAAAATAAAATAGCTACCCATGTTTGATTCTTCTGCAGCTGCTGCATTTGTACTTCTGACCAGACCAGGGAGAGGTTCCACTACTCAGATGCCTATCATTCTAGTCTACAGGCTGGCAACCTCATAAACATAAATGTCCAGCAGATATTTATAGAAGGTTTAAGTTCAGCGTGATATTGCGCTTCAGGCTTTTTCATAGAATTGACATTAGCCAGTACAGAACTCTTGTTCCAGACTGGTTGATAGCACCCCGTGATGTTGTCAGAGAGCGAGTTAAACTCACAGTGCTTTCAAAATGCTAGACATGTAGATTCCAGGCACCATGATCACTTCAAATAAATGAAGAGGTTAAGGTGCTTGGAGTAACCCTTTAATTCTGAATTTCACAATATTCTTCTGCAGCATTCACCCAAAAAATTGCATTATATCTTCAGTTTTTTCAGGAGCCAGAAAATGGCTGAGAATTTTCAGGCAATCCTGGTCCTTCAACGGACTCATAGGGTTATTCATCAAAAAGTGTGAATTGCTTGGAATTTAAATGAAATATGTGATTTCTGGCCCAAAAAACCCAACAACAAAAACATTTTACTATACGTTAAACTAGACCCTTTATCTTTTTAACGAGAAGACGTGTATGTTGGGTGCAAGTACCTCAATGGCACAAGACCGCTAATGCAGAGAGACAATCACATGGCAGCTCCTAGTACCATAACTAAGGCAAGGCAAAGTGTTATTCATATAAGTCAGCGGTGCCCAAAAGGTAGGCACCCAGATGTTTTAAAACGACAGCTTCCGTGTTGCTTTGTCATTCTAAAGGCATGCAGAGCATCATGGGAGTTGTAGTTCTAAAACATCTGGGGATCTACCTTTTGGGCACCACTGGTGTAAGTAGTGCTCTTCTATAAAATACACTTAAAGTTGAAGGTAATGCCCATTATAAAAATATGCAAACAATAAATACAATTAAAAGCTAGCCATGTTTAAATCTTCTGCAGCTGCTGCATTTGCACTTCTGCCCAGACTAGGAAGAGGTTTCACTACTCATATGCCTCTCATTCTGGTCTACAGGCTCTGATGTAGGCTCATAACCTTTGTCCAGTGAGTCAATGTTTTCCTGTGGGGAAGCTTAGATACTTGCCCCACTAGGAGAAGCATTGGATTGGAACATGCCTCCTCCGTTACGAAATGGGAGATGGAGCGTTCAGCAGTGCCGAGGGAGCCTCACAGCGGAAGAAGGTAAGTAAAACTTTACTCTTCTTACGCTTTACAGCACACAGGAGGAGGGGAACTGACAAGGCCGAATATACATAGGGACAGGGAAACTAGAAAAGTGTTAGGAATACAGGTTTGTATTCTTAATTCTTTAGTGTTCTTTTAAATTTGAAATTCACTTTGAATTCTCATTTTAGTAAATAAACCTGCTAATGCAAAAGAAGGAAAGAATAAACAGTGAATTATACTAAGTTAGCATTTTTCCTCCAAGGTTTGAGGCTATTTTTAAAGATTTTTAAAAAGATTTGTTTCTCAGTCTCTTATCAGGCATTGTCAAATCGAATAAATACAAATAAAGCACCACTAGTAGAACAACTGTTATAAGTGTGAAAACTGCCCAAAGAACAAAACATGGCTCCTACTTAGCAATAAACACAGAGATTTTAAAGTGTCAAGAAGATAAGTACAGAATAAATCTTTGAACTGCTCAAAGCAAGTTAGTATGAAAAATATAAAAACAATATCATAGAAACAGTAAAAAGACCAAAAACTAATAAAAGGATTCCTTATTCATATGTCCATAACACAAAACATGTTATACATTCCTAAAATGACATATAAAGCATTTACTGCATTATTTCATGAACACAAGATATTTATGAACCCAAATTTATTGATAAAAACAGGACACAGACAGCCGTATTAGATCAGGTATCAAAGATATATTTCACTACTACATCATGAAATGGCCATGTTTATATCCATAATGTTGGTTTCTGTTCTGAGTACAATATGTGTATTTAAGTCATGCACATTGTGAGCAAAAACCTCTTAAATTGCCCAAAGCAAAAATCCACATATTTCTCATGTGACTGCATGTAAACTCCTTACAGATATAAATTGCATGTAAGGTCCTTGATATAGCTGCATAGAATTTTATTTTTTTTATTTTTTTTAAACATTCTCTGTGCTACCAGATCTAAAACCGCCTGCTTGCATGTCTGCATAATGCTGGATTTTAAGGGGTTTCTCACACTCTCAGGCAGTTGAAGGTGACACAATACAATTCATACACCTGCATGTCTCTATACAACTCCGAGAGTGTATGAGAAATAGGACTCATGGAACAACTTTGTATCCCATGTTTTACAAATAAGTATATTTAAAAAAAAAAAAAAAAAAAGGATATTCGGCTCTGGTGTTAAGAATACATTGCACTGAATACTTTACAATTAATTTGTTCATTTTTGGAATGTATTAATATTGTCAAATTAAATACACTTTATTTTTTTTTTTTTTTATATGAAATGTATTTATTTATTTTCTCATTTCCTTTTAAGGAGGAAAATGATTGAACTAGTCCATACAGTGAATGAAATAAGTTTCCCAGGAGAGTGCAAATATGCTGTGGTTCTCACATTCCTGCATACTATTTACATACTTCATGTACTAATAGTCCTAAAAACACAGGTAAAAAGCAGCACTATAAATCTTTCTCTACACCACTAAAATAATTTAATAACCAGAAGTTTAGGTTTTTGTTTCAGTAGCAATTACTTTTTTGCTTTCTTAGCTTTTTTAAGTATGTCACATTTCTTTCTGTTTGGGCGCCTGCACCTTTCGTCAATGCTCGGAATACATTCATAATGCCACACCTCCTCCATCTTGTCCACAGGGTAAACGGCTTCCACATAATGGCGGATAAGCCTTAGTCTCACGGGATCAAGCTGCTTCTTATTGCATGCTCCTGAGTGGTTATACTGCAGCCTAAGATTTTCTGCAGTAAACAGTTCTGGGAAAAGTCTCACAAGCAGGCGAGCAGCAAAGTTTCCTACTGAGAGAGACTGTTGTACAATATCCCTAATTTCTTTATCATTTAAGATATAGACTGAAGGCACAGGGAAATCAGGAAGGGGAACAACAATTTTATCCAGTGGTATTTTACAGAAGTCCTTTGTACTACGTTCTGGTGGCAGTGGTGGGCCTTCAATCAGATCCCTGTATCTCTCTGGATTCAGGTCAAAAGGCACAAAGTCTCTCCTTTCTGGCACAGGCACAAACACCTTCCTCTGCTGTTGATAAGACCGCCTTTGCTCTGTGTCCCTTCGACGACATCGTTCATCCAGCTTCCCTACAAATTCTAGAGTCCAAACTCTATCATTCTTTGCTCTGGGATACAGCATTTGCACATAATGCCGAATAAGTTTGACCCGGACAGCGTCAAGTGGCTTCTTCCCAAGCGAGCCACTGCAGTTGTATTGCTTCCTCAAATTCTCATGAGTGAAGAGTTCTGGAAACAAATGTACCAGTAGTCTAGAAGCAAAATTACCAATAGATAGGCTACTCTCATATATATTTTTAATTTGCTCCTTGCTGAGGAGGTATTGTGGATATGGGACCTCAAAATCAGGTAATGGAATATCAATTTTATCAAAGTCCAATGGAACAAGCCAAATTTTTTTAGATCTTCTTCCTGGTCTGTCTGAGTCAATGCCATCTTCCACTTTTACAATAGACAGGTCATCAGGTAAGCTGGCAGAGTCATAACAGTCATCACGTAAATCATCACATTCGCTACCATCCATAAACACGCTCTCCAACTCATCATTAATTCTTTGCACACAGTGCTGTAGCCAAGCACCATCATCTTGCACGTCAGGAAAATAAATCTCTGTATACTGGCGGATCAGCTGTAACCGGTGAGGATCGAGAACAAAATTCTCCAGTTCCCTAGCAGATCTGTCTGCAAGCTTTCTTTGGTCAAAAATCTCAGGAAATAAACGGTGCAGCAAAAACACTGCAAATTCACCGGGGGATGAAGCTTCATCTAAAAACTCATTGAGATCTTGAGCATTGACAGTGTACTCGGAGGAAACAGAATTTATCCTATTCAAGGAGACGTCTTCTTCCTGATTTTTATTTTCAACATAATGAGAATTCTGTTGTGATGGAGAACCATAGAAACTGTTGGAATGCATACTTTGGTTGCTGCTTTCCATCTGCCTTTCAGCCCAAAACCGGTTGAAAAAGTCATTTATTTGAGGTAAGCACTCCACCTGCCAGATGGCAGTGTTTTTAACAGCAGGATAACACACCTCCACATAGTTCCTTATAAGCTGGAGGTGAAGGGACTCAAGCTTATTCTTGGAGATGAAACCACATGTAGAACAGTTCCTAGAGAAGTCATCATTTCCAAAAAGTTCAGGAAATAATTGAACTAGTAATCGACAACTAAGATCCCCAGCAGAGCTGCTCTGGTCCATTACCTGTTTCAGTTCTGCGCTTGTAAGTTGATATTCAGGAGGTGGCTGGAACTCAGCCACCATTTCCATAGGACTGACCTTTTTCTTAATTCTACTCACCTCAAGAGACAGAAGGTCAACTTTACTATGTAGCTGTGACATGTTGGAATTTAGAGAGTTGAGGGCAAAAAACATTTTTTGTATCAAGGAATAAACGTTAGATTCATCATTCCCCATTGAGGTGCCAGCAGATTCACGTTTGCGCAATTCAGTAAGACCTCGTAGATTTGAGGTACTTTCGTGATTTGTCTTGTCATACATTTCATAAGATACTAGCAGATCAGATGAAACAGGATTCTTTTTTTCTGTTATTTTATGTGAAATGCTATACAAAGGTTTCCTGTAAGATGTGACAAATTCATTGGCCGGTTCTTCTGCTTCACACAGGGATGTAGTGCTGTAGTCTGAGTTTGTACTTGACAACTCTGTGTTTACCTGGGCAGATGATCCAGATTCTCTGTTTCTCATACATGAAATCTGGCTCTAAAAAATAATAATAATAATAATAATATAGAGATAAATGTTTGAATTTCAAGATATCAAATGCCAATATGTTCCTATGGACAATATAACAGGATAAAGATTTTTTTCCCTCTAATATAGTTAATGCATTACATAGATAATTTGAAAATTAGGTTAAAAAAAACAAACAAAAAAAACATTTGCACCGCAGTTGTGTCAGTAGCAGGCAAAACCGTGGACCTATCCTTCACAACGAAGAGGCCTACCAATCAAGGACTTACATTCTGGTAAATGGGGGTCTACTCCAATCACATAGAGAAACCCCTGTTCAGCAGAGTGCAATCTTAAGCTGTTATAGAGCATACACACACACAACACTAGTTCAAGAAAATTTAACTTAACATATGGAGCTGAATTTCAAAACCATCAAAGCAGAACAGGTGTGCAGGGACCTAACCAGAAGAAATGAAGTGAGAACAAGGACAGGGGAGATATAGTGAGACTCAGCATGGAAAAAAAAAAAAAAAGAGCATAAAGATAGTAAGTGTGCTTTGAAATCAGGATGGTCAGGAGCAGGTTTACACCCTTATTTATTATTTTGTAACATAATGAAAAATAGTTTTTCTAAATATATTTGTTTTATATCAAAAGGCCCCCACTTACATTCACCAAACAAAATAAAAACACAGAATGGAGACCTATGGGGGGGTGAATACATTTGTAATTAGTTCCCAGGTATATTTAATATATTTTCTCTTGGGGTATTCACTAAAGGCATATTTATATATACTCCCAAAAAGTTTCTTCTTGATAAATATAGGAATTAGGATAATTAGTTAGTGCTGAAACTTCTGGTCCCACCTGCTGCTCTATCACTCGTGGCCTGAAATCACCATGTTGCCTGGCCCTAAATAGGTAATACAGGACCCAGTCCCCTGTTGCTAAATGCCACCCATCTCTATAAATGACTTGTGATAAAGTGGCCAGTAAGAGGATACAGCGGGCTACATATTCACACTTGTGTATCAATAATTCTTTATCCTGAATGTTCTTATACTGGGGCTATATTTCATATTATCTCATCTGTTGACTGAGCCATGTAACTCTTGCTGAACTGCCTACACTGTATACTGAACTGGTAAATGATTAAACGAGGGTATGATCACCTCTGGGACGAGCCGTCGTTTTTTAACGGTGGGTATAATTTCTGCTTCGCTGCTCGATCCATCACACATCAGAGATGTTTTTTTCCGCTTGTTGGACTCGGGCTGACAGATATGTGTGCTCTCCGGACCAGGCTTCCTTACAGATACACTGCTTGAACAATCCAGCAAATCTTCACCTGAGGCTTCAACCTTTACAACCAACTTGGCTGTTAAATAAACCAAAAAATTAAATAGAAATAATTGAATGTCATAATGAGGAAAAAACAAAAACAAGCAAAAACATTCTTAGATGAGAAAAAAAATTAAACAGATTTTGCACATTTTTATAGAATAGTAAAATATCTAGAGCAAGTGGAGATTAGGACTTTGCCAAAATAATTTCAGAAAATTTGGATAAGTTGTACCATTTTTTAAGATCCTTATTTTATTTAAAATGAGTACGCACCCTTAAAATAAATAATGACTTCCTGGGCAGTAGCCAACACGAGCAGATGCAAGTAAGGGAGCTCTGGGACTAGTGGCTTTTGGGCCATATCGACCATTTGAAGATGCCCCTCCTACAGGGCTCTCAACCACAGATATCAAAGTTGAATTATTTTTTTATTAATGCCAATTGTTCTTATGCTTATACACTTTAAACTATATATTTGCCTAATTATCATTGCAAAAGTGTCTTCATGTTGATGCAACAAAAATATATATATTTTTTACTATTTATTAATATGAATCACAAGATCATGGAGTGCACAGTTGTCTCGTGAGAATGTGTCACTGAGAGACTGTCAGACCAACAGACCCATAGCTCTGCTGCCACCAAAAAGATCCTCTGTACCACTGTTTAGAGTCAGCGCAATACTGAAAGATGTTTAGCCGTTTGTAAAGAACTTAGAGAATTTAACATGAATACAAAAGTTTAATTACATAGAACCAATTACATAAGGACAGCTTCAATACAACTACATTTTCATGAACCATACTTTCCCTTTAAGTATATTTAATCAGGTAAACACATTACAAAAAAAACAAAAAAAAAAAACATAGCTTTTAACAATATGTCTATCTCAGCTGATGACATCACACAGTCAGTATGTTACATCATAATAGTTCTGTCACTACATAGTAAATGGAATGGGAAGGTGCAGCCATTTAAAGCTAGATGTAACTAAATCAACTGATTCAGCCAAGGGATGTAGTAATTTGAATAATAAAAACCTCACATAATGAAAATTATTTTAACAGAAGGCAATTATGCAGAGCAAGTCCATCAAGGTAAGGTTTTTTGTTTTTTTAATAATAAATGCATGGGTTGAGAAGAATAAGTCATGTAAATAGAACTACAAATAAGCAGTTTTTGAAAATTGTAAATACATTTATATCCACCCACAGTGCTTTTAGTCTAACAGAGCTTCAGGAACAGTTATAGAAGGATGTAAACAACAGAGCTGCCCCAGCTCCTCCAGAGGCTGTGTGTAAGTCTGGACAGCAAGTGGAAGGGGTCATCTTTATCTGCCAACTAGCAGCCTCTCACACAGAAAATGCCTTGCAGTAAAAGCAGGGACAGCACCAAGTGATTCACACGGAATACCAGCTCCTGCAGTCTGCTTTTAATTACAGGAGGGTGAGTATTTTGCACACACACAAATAATAATAATAAAAAAAAAAAATAATCACACTGCAAAAAGCTTTAGCCTAACCCTTAATTTAACCCCTTCCAAAACAAACTCTTTCCTTAGTCCTACATTTCAAAACAACTTTAGCTTAAGGACCAAACTTCTGGATTAAAAGGGAATCATGCCAGGGGTTAAAGGATCACTATAGGATCAGGAACACAAACATGTATTCCTGACCGTATAGTGTTAAAACCACCATCTAGCCCCCCGAGGCCCCTCATGCCTCCATAAATAAAGCAAAGTCTTACTGTATTCAAGCCTGAAACTGTAGATCTGCATGCTGTTTGCCTCAGAAAAACAAGCTGTCTACTGACATCATCAGATGCGGTAGCCTGATCCAATCACAATGCTTCCCCATAAGATTGGTTGAGACTGACAAGGAGGCAGATCAGGGGCAGAGCCAGCACAATTTAAAAACAGCCCTGGCCAATCAGCATCTCCTCATAGAGATGAATTGAATCAATGAATCTCTATGAGGAAAGTTCAGTGTCTGCATGCAGAGGGAGGAGACACTGAATGTTTGGATGCATTTTAGGCAGCCATGATCCAGGAAGGATCTCTAACAGCCATCTGAGGAGAGGCCAGTGAAGCTATCACTAGGCTGTAATGTAAACACTGCATTTTCTCTGAAAAAACAGTGCTTACAGCAAAAAGCCTGAAGGTAATGATTCTACTCACCAGAACAAATTCAATAAGCTGTAGTTGTTCTGGTAACTATAGTTGCCCTTTAATGGAGTGGATTTGGTGTACAGATAATGCCCCTCCTTAACTGTCAATATTTTGCCATTTAGTTGTTAAATCACTTTGTTTCTGTAGGATTCATAGAATGTATTCCCTCCCCCCCCATGTGCTGTGAGGAGTTAAGGAGTTAATAATCGAGTGGTCAGGTATAAGCCCACCCACTCCATACAATGCAGGTGGAGTTTCAAAGCCCAGTTATCCTCCCATGCCTCATTGTGGTGGGGCATTTGTATTTATTTATTTTTAATCAGAGGTGGAAATGTAAGACTATGCAAGGAAACACCATGACTGTAATGAGATTATGGCGAGGCCTGCTGATATTTCTCTTTTGGAGGTATGTTTGGGCCTTTAAGGGGGGTGTGATGCACACACCCCTGGCATGTATGGTTGTCACTTTCACAGACAGCCCCGGAGGTCAATCTGCAGTAGTTATAGTTCCTGTGGCTGCTGCACCCCAGTCTGCATCCTCTGAACCTCGATTCACAGCATTCCAAGAGGGTAGCCACTGCCTGAGGAGACTGGTCTGCAGGTCAGAGGTTGAAGGAGGTGTAGCTGAGGGGCCGAGGCAGGACAATAATGCATCCAAGATGGGGCCGAGTCCCACAGTCCGCCACATTGACCTCAGGTAACCCCTCCTACAGGTGAGACCATGTTATGTGATTGACCCACTCCTTTATGAGCAGAGCACACCTTTGAGTCAGCGCTTGGTTGTTTTGTTGCTTGCCTCAGAACTCCTAGGGAGAGCTGTTACTGAACCTGAGCTCCAGGACTGAGCACGACCCCAGTGGTTTGTTACAATGGTGACCGGAGGTTATATCAGCTCAGGACTTCCCAAGCTCAGACTTTGGCCCCAAATTGGCACTTTCCAGCCCGATCCAGGACAGCTGGAAGGTAAGAGCTAATAATGCATACTAGGTGATGTGATAAAGTAAGAAGCTGCAGGATACTGAGTCACAGGGGGCTGGAAGACACAGAAGGTAAATGTTGTAGGGGTAAGCAGGCAAAGTGTGTGAATTAAAATTAATCTATGCTAAGCAATGGGCCTGTCATAAATATATTGTACTGGATTCATGTTATACTTCTACAAATGGGCAAAAAGGTATAAATTGATCATTTACATAATAGACAATTCAACTTTGTGCTATATCTGAATATTAGTATTAATAATTTCAGTGTCTTATGAAGAATATTTGAACGCAAAGATGAGGTTAGTTATAGAGCGCTTCTATCATTGCATTAGCTATTTAACAAAGACCCTGAATTGAACTGGACACTGGTGGATTACACGTTAGTATTTTTGTAGAGGTGACAAAGCGGCACCTTTCCCCAGTCACTTCCTCTCTCAGAACCTGTTCTTTTCTTCCTTTCTGATCTAGTTTTCTTTAAAACATAAAAGTAAGGACTACATTGTTTTATGTATTTTTCCTACGCTTAACCAAAAGGAGGAGCTTAAGTCCACTTCACTTCCTGCGGTCAAAGAAATTTCCTCAATACTTTTCCTCCGTGTTCTTGCGTTGCTTCATTTGCCGTTCAAACGTCCTGTCATTTAGACAGTGTGCTGGTGAATTCTCATCACGAATTCCGTCCTAACAGAACGTGTACAGTTTGTCCATTTGTGTTTGGCCGGAATTCAACGTTTTTTTTGTTAAAATCTCCCTTCTGCTACCACTTGCTATGCTGCGAGTAGAGGCATGTCTACTAAACAGTGAGCAGCCTTCCCTCCAATAAAGTGCCCCATGGTGGGGCACCTATTCAAATAATTAACGGAGGAGACATAATGGCTCCCACCTATTAGGTGCTATACAATAAAACCTAGGGTCCCCCATGGCCCCAACCATGAGTGGTAGGTGGAGGCCTTAAATGAGGACCTCCTATGAGCAGCGGATGGGGGCCATAAGTGACAATAGGGGGAGGACCTATTGTCCCCCCCCATAGGAAAAAGTTGGGGACTAATAATTTATGGTGGCGTCTATCAGACCCTGATTTAAAGTTAATCTTTATTAAACAATATGCTGCAAGTGGACAAACTATTTTGTAAAATCTTTTTAGTTTAATGCTATTTATTTATTTTTCTTTCAGTTTTTTTTTCCCTTATGCACCCGTGTATCTTAATGATTATACTCCCCCTACTTGCTTTTATTTATATTTATTTTTTCTTCTTTCTGCTGGACCTCAATATCTGGGTGCAGCCATTTTGTTTATGTTTGTCCATGAAATCCGCGGTTCTGTAGGATTGATTGCCCCAATGGATTGTGGGTACACCTCAGAACAGAACCTTGCTTTAAGCCCTGCCCATTGTCAGGTTTTGTCAACTTGACTGCTTTGCACTGTAGGGGTGTGAAGGTTTTTTTTATTTTATTTTTTAGAAAAATCTACTTGTCCAAGGGACTAATGCCGTAGCCTAATCTACTTGTCCTGACATACAAAATAATTTCATATAGAAACACTTGCTTAGAGCCCTGGACATTGGCATTGACTTGGGTATTCAAACTAAGAATTTTCATTAATTATGTCCGAGGGGGATAAAATATGCAGATTTGGAAAATTCTCCAGCTCAACTATAGTCCCAAACCCTCAATTTTTCCCATTCAGGTGTGAAGTTTGCTGGCTGTATGTAATGTGTGTTATGTTTGGTGACTGTGTATGTGAAGCTTTCTGGCTATATATAATGTGTGTGATGTTTGGTGAAGGTTGCTGGCTGTGTATAATGTGTGTGATGTTTGGTGATGGTGTGTGAAGTTTGCTAGCTGTATAGTGTGTGTGAAGCTTGCTGGCTGTGTGTGATGTTTGGTGAAGGTTGATGGCTGTGTATAAGTTCAGGTGTGAAGTTTGCTGGCTGTATGTAATGTGTGTTATGTTTGGTGACTGTGTATGTGAAGCTTTCTGGCTATGTATAATGTGTGTGATGTTTGGTGAAGGTTGCTGGATGTGTGTGATGTTTGGTGATGGTGTGTGAAGTTTGCTAGCTGTATAGTGTGATACTGGGTGACTGTATGTGAAGCTTGCTGGCTGTGTGTGATGTTTGATGGGTGTGTATAAGTTCAGGTGTGAAGTTTGCTGGCTGTATGTAATGTGTGTTATGTTTGGTGACTGTGTATGTGAAGCTTTCTGGCTATGTATAATGTGTGTGATGTTTGGTGAAGGTTGATGGCTGTGTATAATGTGCTTGATGTTTGGTGAAGGTTGCTGGCTGTGTATAATGTGCGTGATGTTTGGTGAAGGTTGCTGGCTGTGTATAATGCGCGTGATGTTTGGTGAAGGTTGCTGGCTGTGTATAATGCGCGTGATGTTTGGTGAAGGTTGCTGGCTGTGTATAATGTGCGTGATGTTTGGTGACTGTGTATGTGAAGCTTGCTGTCTGGCTGGGTGTAGTTTGTGTGCATCTGTGCTGTGATTTGCCTCCTTCCCCCACTTGCAGATGTTAGCCATCCTATGAACCAATTACTTTCTTTACATGGATGACTATTTATGCCAACCAACACATAAAAATTAAGGTTTTTGAGAGCCAGCAGAAAGCTTTCTACAAGCAGGTGTGTGGTTATGCCCTGAACACGCAAGCTGCAACCTCTACATCCGGACAATAACATTTAATAATAAATATTCTGGAACTTGCTGGTTTGGTTGGTTTAGTTTGTACCTCTGGCGGGTCTCAGTTATTGCTCCCGTGCAGTCACTGGCACTCACTGAGTGAGAGTGCATGCTAGGAATCCCTGCAGCTGCACTTTGACTCATCAGTGCCAGATCAGAAGGAAGGGATTCCTGAGGGCTGAGACCTGCCAGAGGTACAGACAATCGTACTCCCTGGTTGGATTCTGAGGGCAACGCACAGAGGCAGCCTTGCTGCTTGCCTGCAACACAACAATTTTCCTGCAATACATAAAGCTATGTACAGCCAAATTAGAAAGTTTATTTTTGGCGACAGAGCTGCTTTAACCCCTTTATCTCTATCAGTTGGCTATATTGATTTATTCAGCTCACTTTGCCTTATGGTTCACTTGTACATTATGCCTATGTACAAATGGTCATTCTTTTTACAATAAAAAGGGCTCACAACATTGAGACTAGTGCTATCAAATTTCATTGCACTGCATACACCAACTTCTTCATTGCCTTGGTTAGATTTTTTATTTTAACAGCATCTCATTCAAAACTACAGTGTTACGTGTTGTTGATGGGCAGATTTTACTTTAGGTCACATGTGGTGTGTTTAGTAATATATACATACATACATACATACATACATACATACATACATACATACACACACTGTAACACTAACTAGACAATGCAAACATAACATTGAAAGAATAGGGACAAGAACTACAGCAGGGTTCAAAACCTCCGCTTGTCCACTAGTGGAAGTTTTGGGGAGTGGAAATCCATTCCTGTCAAATAGAAACTCCACTCTGGGTGTGTGTGCCATGGACCCTCCAGGCTTGTAGTAGCAAGTCTTAGGCCTGCAGTGTAGGACATTTGAGACCTGCACTGTAGTTTAGAGATGTGATTATAATGGTGTCAGTCACGCTAGTTTTTATCAAACTCCCAAAGGGTTAGACAAAACTGGAGGGACTTTACGCGTAGTCTACAGGTACTTGAAAAGTAGAAGGTACCTATTCCTCCCTTACATCTCAAGTAGTGTAAATGGAATTTAATAAATGCAGCTAATGGAAAGTCGACCACACTGCTCCTTTCTACTATATACCACCACCACCGTCCCATATTTAAGAGTATGTTGGTGGTTGTAAGTTTTTGTTTTTTCTCCCCATTTTGGGTCACTTGAGCTGGGAATAAAAGAGAAGCAGCAGATATCAACCAGTATGTGTAAAACAGGTGTCCAAAATGTAGAACCTGAGATGTTTTAAAATACTGCTTCCATGAGGCCTTGTCATTCTAAAGGCATGCAGAACATCATGGGAGTTGTAGTTCTACAACATCTGGGGATATACCTTAAGGGCACCACTGGAGTAAAAGATGTCTGTTAGATAGTTTGACTGAAAACAATATGTATGTAAACAAAAATTGTTTAACAAATGAAACTAGTCAAAGATTTGAATAACAATGTCGAATTCCATATATTCAATTTATCATTATGCTATAAAGCCAGTTTACAGGTGTAAAATACATATATACATGTACCCACAATGCAATGGTCTCCATCCTACTTCTCAGTATGTAAAAACAATCTAGGACTAAAGTATCGTATTGTTATAGCACACACACACACACACACGGATCAGCCCGCATAGTAGATACAGATAAAAAAATTTTAAAAAAAAAAATCATTTCATATATACAATTCTATAATCCAGGCAGTGGTATGCCTAAGGAATAAAACAGAATAAGTATGACGTTAACTAATATGGAGGGGATGGATCTACTATAGAACTGATGTAAAAGGGGGGTTCCATGATTTGCTGAGAGCTTGTTGCTTGGTTTCTGTAGAAGATTATGTACTATGGCTCAAAGATGTTCAGCATCTCTAAAGTAGCACAGTGTATAGTTGAAAGTTATTATTCATTTATTTTTGTTTCATGACTGCTGGAACTGTTTTAGAAAAATGCAGAATCTACCTTCGTTATTATCATCTTCAGGTCTGAGTTCATCTGGGTTCATTTTCCGACCAACCTACGAGAAAAGAAAGACCACAGTAATTAGAAAGAAAGTCTAAAAACACTTGTCTTCGAAATATAAATTCCTAGTTAATTCATGACATTTGTTCAAGGGTACCTGTCACGGTACATTTTCTATTATCTCCTTTGATTGCTCTCCTCAAACTATCTATAAAATTGTGCTAGCGAAACTGCTGTGAGCCACTCAATGCCAGGCTTCCCCAAACTCTGGCCCTCCAGATGTTGCGGAACTACAACTCCCATTATTCTCAGCCTATTTAATTCATAGAATAATGGGAGTTGTAGTTCCGCAACATCTGGAGGGCCGGAGATTGAGGAAGCCTGCTCTATGCCAATATTGATTAGCAAGGCTGTTCTCTTGCTTGGCTTCAATGCACATGTGTTACACGCATGTAATATTGCCTCCCAGCCGCCACCTGCCAGTTGGAACCAGTCTAGGCCTCGCGTCCTGCCATAGGCGCCTGCTTGGAAATAAGCCAATTAAAGCAAAAATAAAAAAATCATCAGGCGCTTAGATGGAGATTGAGTCCCAAGTGCAGGTAAGAGACTTTCCATCCTCGGCAGGGCCGCCAAACTTTTAACACTTGCTATCGGAGAGAAATGTTGAATTTCTTGTGCTTCTATTGCAGAACCACCTCAAGATCATAGTGTCACTCAGTTCAATTGATTAATGTGCTGGCTTCAGAGTCATCAGGGGTGCTGTGAAACATTACTATGCTTCCTGAAGAGTCAGGGCTGGAGACAAGGTCGCCGCCAAAAAAGAAAGGGTGGCATTATTGGAGAAAGACTATGCGAATGAGCCCCTTATCACCTAAAGGCAGCATACCATACACACTCACAGAACCCCTCATATGAAAGAGGGGATTGTTTTCTTTCAATGAATCTCAATGAATCTCCAGATAGCAGGTGATTACCATATTATTTTGCCATCACCTGGCTAATATGAGACTTTTTGGGTTTGCAGCATCCTAAAAGTAACATTAATAAAGAATAAAACTAAAACTCTCCTTCCTGCCTGGCTCAGAGGCAAAGTTCTCCCTGCAGCCTACTCTTCCTTCGCTGACGTCACTGCCCCACATTGGCAAAAGATGCCATATATGCACAGTATTCGTGTTGTGGGCTGGCTAATGACATCCATAATGTTGCCGGATGTGGAGTTAGACCTACAGCAGCAGAGGGGATATATTTGCTATGAAATGCTGCACATGCAGGCACCATAACTACTTCTTACTCACTGAAGTGATCAAGGTACTTGAAGTAACCCTTGACGTGCTGTGGAATATGTTGGTGCCTTAATACAAATAATAACATTAACTCTTTTTATTCTCTTACAATGCGTTACATCACCCACTGTGAAATCAATATTGTATGGAGTTTAAAATATATGCAATATTTTAGACATTTTATTACGCTGCATTTTATGCATAAAATAGAAGGTACAAAGTAACAAATTTTAAGTTTTATTTTTCAAATGAAAAATGAACATCTAGAATCCATAACTTTGCTGTTTTTGTGAAGCGTATGTTAAATTTAAAAGAATAGTGTGCATTTTAAAAATATTTATACAATAATGATCATTATGCTGTTTTTACCATATAAACATTGCAACAATTTGTCTCCCAATTTCTTTTTTGTATGGTGGCTTTTTCAATACATACATTTTTCTGTAAAGTGATTTCATAAAGGTTCATGATGTGATTTAAAAAAACAACAACAACAAAAAACTAGATGTGATGTTTAAGGGTAACTTTTACATTTAAACATCTGTACATTTTGTGTGAGTGAAAAAGCCTAGCAGGGGGTTATTCAATAAAGGTCAGAGTAGCCAAACTGGAAGCACGGCTAATTTAGAGTATGTTTCCAATTTAGCTAGTTTGAATTATAAATTTACTTTAAATTCACCTTCTATTGTCACTTGAGTGAATAGCCCTGCAAATGTGGCTTTAACATAGAGGTGTGAATTGGTCTTGCATTCAAAGGGTTATTGCCAACCACAGTTTGTGAGCATGATATACTTCGAGGAACACTCTAATGTTATAAATACATACAGTATCTCACAAAAGTGAGTACACTCCTCACATTTTTGTAAATATTTTATTATATCTTTTCATGTGACAACACTGAAGAAAACTGACACTCTGCTACAATGTAAAGTAGTAAGTGTACAGCCTGTACAACAGTATAAATTTGCTGTCCCCTCAAAATAACTAAACACACAGCCATTAATTTCTAAATCGTTGGCAACAAAAGTGAGTACACCCCTAAGTGGAAATGTCCAAATTGGGCCCAAAGTGTCAATATTTTGTGTGGCCACCATTATTTTCCAGCACAGCCTTAACCCTCATGGCATGGTGTTCACCAGCTTCACAGGTTGCCACTGGAGTCCTCTCCCACTCCTCCATGACGACATCTATTCATATCTAGAAATCTAGTTTTTTTTTTGTCACATGAACCTTTATGAAATCACTTTACTTTGTAGAAAAATCTTTGTATTGAAAAAGTCACCATACAAAAAAGAAATTGGGGAAACAAATGGTGCAATGTTTATATGGTAAAAACAGCATAATAATCATTATCTTATAAATATTTTAATAGGGTGTACTCACTTTTGTGAGATACTGTATATGTATTTATAAAGTTAGTGTTTTTGGTGCCCTTTGATTTAGCTGTAGAAAAGAGAGAGAAAAAAAAAAAAAAAACACTTTTCATTCATAATGGTCTTCCAGCAGGTCCTGCTATGTCTGTCTGAGATCATCTTGTTCATGAGCAGCAATAGTCACTCTGCTCTAATGGAATTCTCCTCACAGAGAAGCATTGCAATATTTCTCTATGTGGAAAATTGACGTCCTTCATCATGGCTCTGAACATTAAGACTGTAAATTAGTTTCATAGTCTACATTAGGAAATGCATCTAGTGGCTGTATGGCTGACAGACACTAGACTAGAGTACAGACTGAAAAATGTAAACACTGCTGTTTCTCACAAACAACCATACTTACATTTGTCAAAGTCCAAGGACAGCATCTAAGCAACAAGACCACTCACTACATTAAGCGAAAGCTCAAATTACCATAACCACTACAGGGAGTGCAGAATTATTAGGCAAGTTGTATTTTTGAGGATTAATTTTATTATTGAACAACAACCATGTTCTCAATGAACCCAAAAAACTCATTAATATCAAAGCTGAATATTTTTGGAAGTAGTTTTTAGTTTGTTTTTAGTTTTAGCTATGTTAGGGGGATATCTGTGTGTGCAGGTGACTATTACTGTGCATAATTATTAGGCAACTTAACAAAAAACAAATATATACCCATTTCAATTATTTATTATTACCAGTGAAACCAATATAACATCTCAACATTCACAAATATACATTTCTGACATTCAAAAACAAAACAAAACAAATCAGTGACCAATATAGCCACCTTTCTTTGCAAGGACACTCAAAAGCCTGCCATCCATGGATTCTGTCAGTGTTTTGATCTGTTCACCATCAACATTGCGTGCAGCAGCAACCACAGCCTCCCAGACACTGTTCAGAGAGGTGTACTGTTTTCCCTCCTTGTAAATCTCACATTTGATGATGGACCACAGGTTCTCAATGGGGTTCAGATCAGGTGAACAAGGAGGCCATGTCATTAGATTTTCTTCTTTTATACCCTTTCTTGCCAGCCACGCTGTGGAGTACTTGGACGCGTGTGATGGAGCATTGTCCTGCATGAAAATCATGTTTTTCTTGAAGGATGCAGACTTCTTCCTGTACCACTGCTTGAAGAAGGTGTCTTCCAGGAACTGGCAGTAGGACTGGGAGTTGAGCTTAACTCCATCCTCAACCCAAAAAGGCCCCACAAGCTCATCTTTGATGATACCAGCCCAAACCAGTACTCCACCTCCACCTTGCTGGCGTCTGAGTCGGACTGGAGCTCTCTGCCCTTTACCAATCCAGCCACGGGCCCATCCATCTGGCCCATCAAGACTCACTCTCATTTCATCAGTCCATAAAACCTTAGAAAAATCAGTCTTGAGATATTTCTTGGCCCAGTCTTGACGCTTCAGCTTGTGTGTCTTGTTCAGTGGTGGTCGTCTTTCAGCCTTTCTTACCTTGGCCATGTCTCTGAGTATTGCACACCTTGTGCTTTTGGGCACTCCAGTGATGTTGCAGCTCTGAAATATGGCCAAACTGGTGGCAAGTGGCATCGTGGCAGCTGCACGCTTGACTTTTCTCAGTTCATGGGCAGTTATTTTGCGCTTTGGTTTTTCCACACGCTTCTTGCGACCCTGTTGACTATTTTGAATGAAACGCTTGATTGTTCGATGATCACGCTTCAGAAGCTTTGCAATTTTAAGAGTGCTGCATCCCTCTGCAAGATATCTCACTATTTTTGACTTTTCTGAGCCTGTCAAGTCCTTCTTTGACCCATTTTGCCAAAGGAAAGGAAGTTGCCTAATAATTATGCACACCTGATATAGGGTGTTGATGTCATTAGACCACACCCCTTCTCATTACAGAGATGCACATCACCTAATATGCTTAATTGGTAGTAGGCTTTCGAGCCTATACAGCTTGGAGTAAGACAACATGCATAAAGAGGATGATGTGGTCAAAATACTCATTTGCCTAATAATTCTGCACTCCCTGTACAGTGCCGTGGAGCCTCCACCTTCCTGTAAGGCGTCAATCTGTTTTACAATGGGGTATTAGAGGGCATAGCTCCTTGGCCAAGTGGCATCCTGGCCACCACAGTGAGCTTTAAGTTGTAACAGTTTAACCCCTTAAGGACCAAACTTCTAGAATAAAATGGAATCATGACATGTCACACGTCATGTGTCCTTAAGGGGTTAAGCAAGTGTCCCTCTTTAATATATAATTAATATAAGGTTTACATTATTCCACTCTGCATTTAGAGCAGGGCTGCCCAACAGATAGATCCCCAGATGTAGAACTACAACTCCCATGATGCTTTGTCATTCTAAATGCATGCAAAGCATCAAGGGAGTTCTAGTTCCACAACATCTGTGGCTCTACCGGTTGGGCAGCCTTGCTTTAGATGATATTGGAATGTAAACAAACAAAAACCTAATTGCAATTTGAGTCGATGGATTTATATCCCATTTTGTGGCACTATTAGAAAGTTGTGTAAAAAGCTGAACTCCGTAAGTTTGCACACACTGTTTATACACACAGCAGTCCAGCACCGCTCTCAGTAAGTTTGCACACACAGTATATACAGCAGTCCAGCACCGCTCTCAATAAGTTTGCACACACTGTATGTGCGGTAAGTTAGTTTGCGCACACTGTATGTGCGGTAAGTTAGTTTGTGCACACTGTATGTCCGGTAAGTTAGTTTGCACACACTGTATGTGCCGCACACTGTATGTGGTAAGTTTGCACACACTGTATGTGCAGTAAGTTAGTTTGGGCACACACTGCAGTAGTTTGCACACACTGCGCAGTAAGTTAGTTTGTTTGCGCACACTGTAAGTTAGTTTGGGCGGTAAGTTAGTTTGCGCACACTGTATGTGCGGTAAGTTAGTTTGCGCACACTGTATGTGGGCGGTAAGTTAGTGTATGCGCACACTGTATAGTTTGGGCGCACACGCAGTAAGTTAGTTTGGGTGTATGCAGTAAGTTAGTTTGGGCACACTGCAGTAAGTTAGTTTGGGCGCAGTAAGTTAGTTTGGGCGCACACTGTATGCAGTAGTTAGTTTGGGCACACGCAGTAAGTTAGTTTGGGCACACGCAGTAAGTTAGTTTACTGTATGGGCAGTAAGTTAGTTTGGGCACACTGTATGTGCAGTAAGTTAGTTTGGGCGGCACACACTGTATGGGCAGTAAGTTAGTTTGCACACACTGTGGGTGCAGTAAGTTAGTATATGCAGCATTACCGTATGCTGTTAGTTTGGGGCACAGGCACTGTAGTGGGTATTTGGGGCATAATTGTGTAGTTAGTTTGGGCGCACACTGTATGTGCAGTAAGTTAGTATTGGGCGCACACTGTATGTGCAGTAGTTAGTTTGGGCACACTGTATGTGCAGTAAGTTAGTTTGGGCGCACACTGTATGTGCAGTAAGTTAGTTTGGGCGCACACTGTATGGGCAGTAAGTTAGTTTGGGCACACTGTATGTGCAGTAAGTTAGTTTGGGCGCACACTGTATGTGCAGTAAGTTAGTTTGGGCGCACACTGTATGTGCAGTAAGTTAGTTTGGGCACACTGTATGGGCAGTAAGTTAGTTTGGGCGCACACTGTATGTGCAGTAAGTTAGTTTGGGCGCACACTGTATGTGCAGTAAGTTAGTTTGGGCGCACACTGTATGTGCAGTAAGTTAGTTTGGGCACACTGTATGTGCAGTAAGTTAGTTTGGGCACACACTGTATGTGCAGTAAGTTAGTTTGGGCACACTGTATGTGCAGTAAGTTAGTTTGGGCACACACTGTATGTGCAGTAAGTTAGTTTGGGCGCACACTGTATGTGCAGTAAGTTAGTTTGGGCGCACTGTATGTGCAGTAAGTTAGTTTGGGCACACACTGTATGTGCAGTATGTTTGCAGTGAGCTGTGGGTTGTTGTTGCTGCTGGTGGAGCAGCTGATCTCTCCTCACGTGTACTGAGGGCCCGCAGTTCGGCGGGCTGTGACGTCACCGGTACTTTAGAACTCGCCGCGCGGACAATAGAACGAGGCGGCAGACCCACATGGCGCGTGGACCCACACAGCTCCCGCGCGGACACTGACTATAACCGCTCAGACTACTCCGTCAGACTCCCACTCACACACCGGGCACGAGTGGAGCTTCCACGGACACCCTCCCACTCCCAGCCCCGCACTCACCTAGCCCGCAGCCCGGCCCCTCCCGGCTCTCTGTCTCTGGACACGGCCGACTGGCGGGGGGAGGGAGACCCTGGCTCCGTGTCGTGGGCTGGCTGTCTCCCCGCGCCCCACGCTGGCTCTTTGTGTGCTGCGTGTCCGTGCGTTCTCGCGTGACGTGACGGGACTCCGTGTGTGTCATTTCCGCAGAAGGACAGGGAGACAGAGGCTGCAGTGGGAACAGCCCCCTGCCCTCTATCACTGACACACAGGACACGGGGGAGGGGCTGCACCCAGCAAGGACTCCCACACACAGCACTCTGAGCAACTGCCCCCCCACACACAGCACTCTGAGCAACTGCCCCCCCCACACACAGCACTCTGAGCAACTGCCCTCCCACACACAGCACTCTGAGCAACTGCCCTCCCACACACAGCACCATGAGCAACTGCATTCACACACACAGCACCATGAGCAACTGCATTCACACACAGCACTCTCAGGATCTCCACTCTCACACAGCACTCTCACACAGTACCCTGAGCAAATTGACTGACACAATCAGCACTCTGAGCAACTGCACTCACACACACAGCACTCTGAGCAACTGCCCCCACACGCACTCTGAGCAATCGCCCCCACACACAGCACTCTGAGCAACCGCCCCTCCCACACACCGCACTCTGAGCAACCGCCCCCACACAGCACCTGAGCACCGCCCCCACACACAAAGCACTCTGAGCAACCGCCCCCACACACACAGCACTCTGAGCAACCGTGCCCCCCACACAGCACCTGAGCAACTGCCCCCACACACAGCACCTGAGCAACTGCCCCCACACACAGCATCATGAGCAACCGCAACTGCCCTCCCACACACAGCACCATGAGCAACTGCCCTCCCACACACAGCACCATGAGCAACTGCCCTCCCACACACAGCACCATGAGCAACTGCATTCACACAGCACTCTCAGGATCTCCACTCTCACACAGCACTCACACAGTACCCTGAGCAAATTGACTGACACAATCAGCACTCTGAGCAACTGCACTCACACACACAGCACTCTGAGCAACTGCCCCCCACACAGAGCACTCCCAGGCCCCAACTACCCCCACACACACAGCACCCTGAGCCCTCCCACACACAGCACTCTGAGCAACTGCCCCCCCCCCACACACAGCACCATGAGCAACTGCCCTCCCACACACAGCACCATGAGCAACTGCATTCACACACACAGCACCATGAGCAACTGCATTCACACACGGCAATCTCACACAGTACCCTGAGCAAATTGACTAACACAATCAGCACTCTGAGCAACTGCACTCACACACACAGCACTCTCAGCAACTACACTTGGCACTCTCACTACCTCTACTTGCACACAGCACTCTCAGCAACTGCATTTACACACCACACTCTCAACACCATCAAAGTTATTAAAAGAGCTTAGTGGTGTACTAGCAGAAACATTAACAGATTTATTTAACCAATCATTAACAGGAGTAGTCCGAGAAGATTGGAAGTTGGCGAATGTTGCGCCCATTCCCAAGAAAGGTAGTAGGGAGGAGTCGGGCAACTATAGGCCAGTAAGCCTTACTTCAGTAGTGGGGAAAGTGATGGAAACCATGTTAAAGGATAGGATTGATGAACATCTAAAAACACATGGATTTCAAGATTAGAGACCACATGGGTTTACTTCAGGGAGATCATGCCAAACTAATCTTACTGATTTTTTTTGATTGGGTAACTAAAATTATAGATCAGGGTGGTGCAGTAGACATTGCTTACGTAGATTTCAGTAAGGCTTTTGACACTGTTGCACATGGAAGGCTTATCAATAAACTGCAACCTTTAAGTTTGGATTCCAATATTGTTGAATGGGCAAGGCAGTGGCTGAGCGACAGGCAACAGAGGGTTGTAGTCAATAGAGTATATTCAAATCATGGGCTTGTCACCAGTGGGGTACCTCAGGGATCTGTACTTGGACCCATTCTCTTTAATGTTTTTATTAGTGTTATTCCAGAAGGTCTTGCTGGTAAGGTATGTCTTTTTGCGGATGATACCAAGATTTGTAAGTGAGTTGTGGTAACTGACATTTAATGTGAAATAAGTGCAAGATAATGCATCTTGGATGTAAAAACCCAAGGGCAGAGTACAGAATATTTGATAGAGTCCTAACCTCAACATCTGAGGAAAGGAATTTAGGGGTGATTTATTTCTGATGACTTAAAGGTGAGCAGACAATGTAATAGAGCAGCATGAAATGCTAGCCGAATGCTTGGTTGTATAGCAGTAGAAAGAGGGAAGTGCTCGTGCTATTGTACAGAACACTGGTGAGACCTCACTTGGAGTATTGTATGCAGTACTGGAGACCGTATCTCTAGAAGGATATTGATACTTTAGAGAGAGTTCAGAGAAGGGCTACTAAACTGGTTCATGGATTTCAGGATAAAACTTACCAGGAAAGGTTAAAGGATCTTAACATGTATAGCTTGGAGGAAAGCCGAGATGGGGGGGATATGATAGAAACATTTAAATACATGAAGGGAATCAGCACAGTAAAGGAGGAGACTATATTTAAAAGAAGAGAAACTACCACAAGAAGAGGGCACAAAGGTTTAAAAATAATATCCGGACGTATTCCTTTACTGAGAGGGTAGTGGATGCATGGAATAGCCTTCCAGCTGAAGTGGTAGAAGTTTAAGCACACGTGGGATAAGCATAAGGCTATCCTAATTATAAGATAAGTCCAGGGACTAATGAAAGGATTTAGAAAATTGGGCAGACTAGTTCTTATCTGTCGTCACATTCTATGTAATCACACACACTGCACTCTCAGAAACCATACTTAACACTCTGTACCTCCAGTCACATACGTAGCACTCTGGGCAACTGCACTCACACACAGCACCCTCACTCAGCACTCTCAGAACCTGTGCTACCTCACATCTTATACTGTAACTGCACTGTAATCTCCTGATTGGGAAGGGGGTTAATGTAGTTTTGTTAGAACCATTTTTGTAAATACACGTCAACACTGTGAATCCAGGCAAAGCTATTCACTAAAATTTAAGTGGTCATAGATCATAAAATGTGACGACAGATAATAACCAATCGGCCCATCTAGTCTGACCAATTTCCTAGATACTTTCATTAGTGCCTGGCTTTATCTTATAGCTAGGATAGCCTTATGACTATCCCATGCATGCTTAAACTCCTTTTACTATGTTAACCTCTACCACTTCAGGTGGAAGGCTATTCCATGCATCCACTACTTTCTCAGTAAAGTAATACTTCCTGATATTTTTGAACCTTTGCCCCTCTAATTTAAGACTGTCCTCTTGTTGTGGTAGTTTTTTTTTTGTTTGTTTGTTTTTTAAATATAGTCTCCTCCCTTACTGTGTTGATTTCCCTTGTATGTATTTAAATGTTTCTATCATATCCCCCCCCCATCTCGTCTTTCCTCCAAGTTATACATGTTAAGATCCTGTAACTTTTCCTGATAAGTTTTATCCTGCAATCAGGGCCGGCGTGTCCTATAGGCGACTTCCTAAGGGCGCACTGGCCCGTGGGGAGCTAGATTTGTAGCATGGCTGGGTGGCGTGGACCGGGGTACAGGAAACTGGGGGGGGAGGGGGAGGAGAGGGATGACCACTAGGGGGTTGGGGGAGATGTCTGACTACTAAGGGGAGGTGGTGGAGAGGAGCACTAAGGCACAGGGGGAAAAAACCACTAAGGGTCAGCGGAGAGCTCTAAGGATGGAGGAGATATCTTGAGGGGAGGGGAGTAGTGAGCATCAAAGGACAGGAGGGCAGGTGGAAGCACTATGGGACAGGAGGGGGAGCTCTGAGAGACCGGTGGGAGAGCACTAATGTGCTGGAAGGGATATCACTAAGGGACAGGAGATGAGGGGAGAACACTAAGGGACTGGAAGGGAGGGTAGAGCACTGAGGGACATGAGGGGAGAACACTAATTGACAGGAGAGAAGAGAACCATAAAAAAATAAAGAGCTGCTCTCCTCTCAGCCCCTATCCTACCCGACAAATCCTCTACACTACACACCTACACAATGCATCCCTACACACACACAGAAACAAAATGCATCTCTTACACATACTCAATGCACCCCTTACAGACACTCCCTGCATTACAATACTCACACAAAAACACACTTTGCATTCCTTACACATACAAACACAGATTCACACAATGCATCCCTTACACACACAGAAACACAATGCATTCCTTACACACAAGCTCCAAAGAGCCTCTTTTAGACCAGATCAGTGGAGCCAGACTGTAGCCTGAGCCCATCATCATCCTCTTGTCCTCAACTCGTAGTAAGTAGGCAATCCAGTATATTATTAGTGGCACTAATCTCTAATTTACCTCACATTAAAGGTCCATTATAGTCACCAGAACCACTACAGCTTAATGTAGTGGTTCTGGTGTCTATAGCCTATCCCTGCAGGCTTTTTAATGTAAACACACTGCCTTTTCAGATAAGACACTGTGTGCAGAACTTGCGTTGGCCCATATGGCAGATCATATGGGTGGAGCATTGTGATGTCACATGGTGGGAAGTACAAATCCTTGCACCAGCCCTGCCTGCAATCCATGAATCAATTTAGTAGCCCTTCTCTGAACTCTTTCCAAAGTATAAATTTCCTTCTGAAAATACGATCTCCAGTACTACGAACAATACTCCAAGTGAGGTCTCACCAGTGCTCTGTACAATGGCATGAGCACTTCTCTCTTTCCACTGCTAATACCTCTCTAGAAAACCAAGGATTATTCTAGCATTTCCTGTTGCTCTATTGCATTGTCTGCCTACCTTTTAAAGTCACCTGAAATAATTACTTATAAATCCCTTTCCTCAGATGTTGAGGATAGTAGTGTATCAAATATTTTGTACTCTGCCCTTGGGTTTTTAAGCCCTTGATGTTTTATCTTGCACTTATCCACATTAAATGTCAGCTGCCTCAGCTCTGACCATTTTTCCAGTTTACCTAAATCATTTGCCATTTGGCTTATCCCTCCTGGAACTTCAACCCTGTTGCAAATCTTGGTATCATCTGCAAAAAGACATACCTTACCAGCAAGACCTTCTGGAATAACACTAATAAAAATATTAAAGAGAATGAGTCCAAGTACAGATCCATGAGGTATCCCACTGGTGACAAGACCATGCTTCGAATATGGAGAGCAAAAAACGGGGCGCAAGAGAATACTGAGAACAGGCAGCAGCTGAAATAGCCGGTGGGGGAGGGGAGGGGGAATCTCCAAAGGATTCACAGTATAGCAAAAAACCTGCGTTGATTTTTTTTTTTTTTCCCCCCCATCAAATTCTGCTTTATTCACTCACTCCCAAAACTAGCCACTCACAAAGACCGCCATAGTGTACACACAGTCATACCTGAAGATGCACTCACAGACACACACACATACATACATACATACAACTACGCGCCGTTACATACTCTGAAATACAGATACACCTTCAGTCATACAGACAATACATGTGGGAAGTAGTGGAATTTCCATTTATTACAAAATGGGAAGGGATATTCATAAGCTGAAGGGGAGTTAGGAGATGTATTGGGGCCGATAAGGGTCTTTTAATGAAAAACAAATGCAGTTTCTTCCCACCACCTTGATGCTTAACTTGGGCCAGGGAGGGTGAAATGCAGCTTTTCTGCACTCACAAAAGGGGGAAGATAGCTACTTCCAGCCAGCATTGGGAAATGTATTAGAGTGTTGCCGTGTTAAGCTTCAACACTCTAATGCAGTAGAAGGAGCTTAGAACTTGGCCTAGAGCTACAGGTTATCCCTCCTCTCCCCTGGATCAGGGGCTGGATTTCGCGAGGTGGGGTTATACCTCCAGCAGCAAAGGGGTTATACGTGGTATTTGAAACATTTGCTAGTGAAACACTGCACATACTACAGGCACCATGATCACTTCAAGTCACTGAAGCTGTCATGATGATTCACTTTAATTCTTTAAAGGGACACTGTAGTCACCCAGACCACTTCAGCTCAATGAAGTGGTCTGGGTACCAGGTTCCTCAGGTTTTAACCCTTCCATTTGGGGTTATTCCAGTCTCTAGTGGCTGTCTTCCGGCAAATTCAAACAGATCCCTCTCTTACCAGGAAGATGCACCACGTATCAGGAACCCTCACGCTCTTCTTTAAGGATGGATCTTTCACCATAAACCTCTCTCCATAAGTGGCTTTTGGGATAAGTGGTTTATTCCCCAGTTGGATTTCCATTACATAGGATGAGTAGACCTGCTTTAAAATGTAAAGCAGCCATGCAACATTTGCTATCTGTGTATACACAGACTGATGTACACTTTAGTGAACCAGACAGTGTGCAGTGGTTGTTCGAACCACTGACAACGTGCTTTTTACAAATCCGATTCGTCAATAATGCATCCTCTTGCTGGTCAACCCAACTGTTCTTCCATACACTAAAATGACTCGTCAAGACTCCTACCTCCATTCATCATGCGAACGTGCTAGTCTCATAGTAAACACCCATACAATATTTATTCACATAGTAACAACAGAGCTCCAGAATTTTACCACGTCACAGAAGGCTATTTAGTATTAACTTTCTTTACTTTCACTCCAGCAGCAAATATCACTATAAAAAAATTACCAATCAGAACTAAGAAAATGCAGTCCACACTTAGTCCGCCTACACTTCTCTTTCTTTGCTGCTCCAGCAGGACACAGGTCAGAGTATAAACTCCTGCTGTGTATTCTGTAGCATAGCATTGTATTTTATAGCTTTGTAATCTGTTTATTTTATTTCTCTATTAACCGGTTGATGTATATTTTTCTAACAGCTACTATCCCCTCCATGTGTCTCCCCCTCTTACCTGGTCTATCTTGCTCTGTTTGGGGTGTATCTGGGACTCAGGCTTTGGCCCCCCTGTGCCTGGCCCTTTGGGCTTCACTGCTGCCTCATTTATGCCAGTGCAAGAGAGAAGAAAAATATCTGTTAGGAATTTAATGTTTTATTATATTTTTGCACGTTACATCTTACTTACGTATCGATGATCACTTTGTATCCTCCCTAGAAATAGGCTTACGCTAATGCTGTGGTATGCTCTGTGCTATGTTCTGTTGGGAAACTTTGGGTCCTGGCATTCATGTGGATGTTACTTTTGACACCTATCTAGAGATTGTTGCAGACCAAGTATATTTCTTTGTGGCAATGGTGTTCCAAGATGGTAGTTGTCTCTTTTAGCAGGATAATGCACAGGGCTAAAATTGTTCAGGAATGGCTTGAGGAACATGACAGAGTTCAAGGTGTTGTTTTGGCCTCCAGATTCCCTAAAACTCCATCTGATCTGTGGGATGTGCTGGAACATCTAATCTGATTCATGGAGGCCCTACTTTGCAACTAGCATGACTTAAAGGATCTGCTGCTAGTGACTTTGTGCCAGATACCACAAGACATGTGCAGAGGTATTGTGGAGTCCATGCCTCAACACATTAGAGCTTTTTTTGCAGACCAAGGGGGACTTACACAATATTAGACAGGAAGTTTTCATGTTGTGGCTGGTTAGTGTATACAGTGCAACTCTTAAAGGGATACTGTAGGCACCCAGACCACTTCAGCTAATTGAAGTGGTCTGCGTGATGTGACCCTTTAGCACTTAGTGCTGCAATGTAAAACATTGCAGTGCCAGACAGCCACTGGGGGGTGCTTCTGGAATCCAAACGGACCTTAGGTCCGTCATCTGATGCTGGACTTGAATAATGCTTTCCTATGAGGAGGTCTAATGAGCAAATGGCAATGGCCATGCATGCGCATTAGGACTTCCCCGCCAGCTGACAGCTGGGAAGGAGCGTGACCCAGCACCAAGGGACATCGGTGGTGGATTCAGGTAAATGGCTGGAGGGGTTTCAACCTGAATCCACCACCACAGGATGAGGGTGACGGGGAGGGGGGGGAGACCTATTAACCCTATAGTGCCAGGAAAACTGCTTTGTTTTCCTGGCACTATAGGATCTCTTTATTGTAAAGTGCTGGAGGTGAAAAGAATGGCGTCTGCAAGCAGCGGTAGATAAAGGCTGGTGTTTTCAAGGTCTGCCTACATGGCCTGTCACTGATTCCACCACCAGCTCTGTGGTAAGTGATGTAGTGTGTGTAAGGGATGTAATATGTGTGTTTAGAAAATGTAGTGTAGATGTATAAGGAATGCAGTGTGTGTGTGTGTGTGTGTATAGTGGACTTGGTGTCTGGATGGATGCAGTTTGTGTAGTGTGTGTATGTATGTATATATGTATGTGTATATATAAATAGTAGTATGCGTGTGTATATACAATTGCAAGAAAAAGTATGTGAACCCTTTGGAATGATATGGATTTCTGCACAAATTGGTCATTACATGTGGTCTGATCATCATCTAAGTGACAACAATAGACAATCACAGTCTGCTTAAACTAATAACACACAAAGAATGAAAAGTTGCCATGTTTTTATTGAACACACCATGTAAACATTCACATTGCAGGTGGAAAAAGTATGTGAACCCCTAGACTAATGACATCTCCAAGAGCTAATTGGAGTGAGATGTCAGCCAAATGGAGTCCAATCAATGAGGTGAGATTGGAGGTGTTGGTTACAGCTGCCCTGCCCTATAAAAACACACACCAGTTCTGGGTTTGCTTTTCACAAGAAGCATTGCCTGATGTGAATGATGCCTCGCACAAAAGAGCTCTCAGAAGACCTACGATTAAGAATTGTTGACTTGCATAAAGCTGGAAAGGGTTATAAAAGTATCTTCAAAAGCCTTGCTGTTCATCAGTCCACGGTAAGACAAATTGTCTATAAATGGAGAAAGTTCAGCACTGCTGCTACTCTCCCTAGGAGTGGCCGTCCTGTAAAGATGACTGCAAGAGCACAGCGCAGACTGCTCAATGAGGTGAAGAAGAATCCTAGAGTGTCAGCTAAAGACTTACAAAAGTCACTGGCAAATGCTAACATCCCTGTTAGCGAATCTACAATACGTAAAACACTAAACAAGAATGGATTTCATGGGAGGATACCACAGAGGAA